AGAAATTGCGTGCTCTTGCGGTTCATGAGCAAACATTTACGAAGCATGACGAAAGAACGACTCAGTCCAGCGGTTCAACCTCGGCGTTATCTACCAATTTCAAATCAAAAGGAAAACGTCCTCCTCCTCCTCCTCCACCATCTTTGCGACAAGACTACGAACATCCATGTCAAAATGGACACGATCCAAATACTACGCACAGTCAAAGAAACTGTTGGTACGACAATCCGTCTAAACGGCCAAAACGTTTTCAAGTTTTTCCACCGACTAGAGCAACTGTTACTCAAACAGCTACCGCAAATAAGTCGAATCAACAAGCTTCTAGTAGTAACGCTAATAATGAGAATGCTGTTCCGTCATTTGGATACTGTAGCACTATTCGATCTTCTGAACCTCAGACGAAGCTAGTAGCGATTCTTGATTCTGGAGCTAGTAATCATATGTTCAACTCACTTGTTTTGTTCATCAATAGTGAACTGACTCATATCTTTATTGTCACTGGCGATGGAAAATCCAGAGAAGAACTTATTGCTGTCAGACAAGGGACAGCAATGATTCAAATGGCCGACAACAAAGTCATCACCTTACATAACTCTCTATTCGTGCCTAATTTAACTCGAAATCTCATTTCCATGGCTCAACTAATCGATGAGAAGATTTTAATTCAACGAGCTGGTGGAATCTACGAAATCATATCAAATAATCAAGAAAAATTATTTAATGTGAATCTATCAAACCAACTTTTTGAAATTGAAGGCAATATCTTTCCTCCCCATCATCAAACTGTTGCAATGCTTACGAATTCGGTTGAAACTTTGGGGTTTACAAAATGGCATAATCGCCTCGGCCATGCTAGTACGAATAGACTGAAAATCGTGGTTCCGTCGAATGAAAGACTTGTGAAAGAAAAATGCTGTGATTCTTGTATGAAAGGAAAGATGACTCGACTAAGTTTCAAACATCACTTCGATTCAACTTCAGCCGCTCTTGAAGTTGTTCACGGTGATTTAGTCGGACCAATAACTCTATCATCAAATGGTGGAGCGCGATACTTTTTAACACTTGTCGATCAATTCACTGGTTTTATCAACATCACAATTCTCAAAGAAAAAAGTGAAGCGCCTGATGTGATCGAAAAGTTTAAAATCTTCTATGAGAATCAAACAGGGAATCGGTTGAAGAAATTGATTACGGATGGCGGTGGCCAGTTCTGCAACAAGAAACTGTCTAGTATTCTCGAAGCGAGTGGAGTTCAGCATAATGTTTCACCACCATACACTCCTCAGCAAAACGGTTTTGCAGAGCGTGCAAACCGTACAATCCTCAACATGACTCGGTGTATCTTGATGCAATCGAATCTAGCACCCGAATGGTGGGCGGAAGCAGTGAAAACTGCTTGTGCAATTACTAATTGCTTGCCGTCATTGTCAAAAAGTCGCACTTCACCAATCGAGCTTTTATTCAAGAAAAAGCCGAACATTAAGATCTTTCGACCTTTTGGCTGTAAATTTTGGTCACTGAAACCGGAGATTTATCACGAAAGGAAATTTGATTCTTTATCATGGGAAGGCGTATTGATTGGATATTCTAACGATTATTCTACGTATAAGGTGGTTTGGCTCGACAACCTTCAAATAATCAATATCAAACATGCTTACTTTGAAGAAGATGTTTTTCCAGCTTGCCCAGCATTGAATAAGAGTCTCGATAACTTGAAGCTTTCAAACAATTTACCAATTTTTCAAGATAATCCACCCTTACCGTTTGAAGAAAATCAGTTACCAATTGAAGAAACATCTGAAGAAGATCACTCGAATGAATTACTTCAAGAAGAGATTGAAAATGAAAAGCAAATTCAGACACAAGACGGTATCAACAATGACAGGATACTCAATAGTAACATCGATGAATCAAACATATTGACGTGTTCTAGACGTACTGCACTTGTTTCAACGGCGCCAAAAACCCATAGTCAAGCGATGAAAGGAAAGGAAATCGACAAGTGGAAGAAAGCTGAGAAGAAAGAATACAAAAATATGGATCAGCATAAGGCTTGGCTGGTGCGGAAGAGGCGAAATGACAATACACCAATACCGTTAACCTGGGCTTTTCGGAAAAAGCTAGGAGCAAACAATGAGGTAACAGAGTTCAAAGCGAGAATCTGTGTGCAAGGATTTCGACAAACCTTTGGTCTTGATTTCTTTGCGAAATATGCGCCGACAGGAAAACCTTGCTTGCTTCGACTGCTTATTTCCTTTGCCATTAATAATGATATGAAAATTCATCAACTCGACGTGAGAAGTGCTTTCTTGACATGTCCTCTAGAAGATAAAGTCACGGTTACACCACCACCGGGGTACGAAGGATCAGAGGTTACTGTGTTTGAGTTGAAGAAGGCGGTTTACGGCTTACGTCAAGCACCGCTTGTGTGGTATAAGCGTCTATCAAATTTTCTGAAATCGATTGGATTCAACATTTGCGTGTCGGATCCGTGTGTCTTTTGGCGAGGAAATCAATTCGGTAAACCAACATTATAAGTCATAATCCATTAATCTTCAAAGAAGAGATTGAAAAAGAATTTGCGGTCAAATACCTTGGCGACACTGAATTTATTTTGGGAATGAACATTACTCGATCAAACGGAACTGTCAAGATTAATCAGCAACAATACATTGAGAGAAAACTAGCTCAATTCGATCTTCACAACGCCTATCCGGCATCTTGTCTACTAAATCCCAAAATTCAACTGAATAAGGCGACACAAGAAGATCAAGAAGCTCTCAAACGCCTCAATCTTAACTATCGCTCAATTGTCGGTTCTTTGAATTATCTTAGCATATTGACTCGACCCAATATATCTTATGCTGTCAGTGCGTTGTCACAATTTTTCGAAAAACCTGGTTTATCGCATTATAACGCTGCAGAACAAGTATTTTGTTACATCGCCGGAACACGCGAAGTTGGTCTAACATACAAAAAGCAAAAAGAGTCTGGCTTGAAGGCATATGTTGATGCTGACTGGGGAAACTGTCTTATCACATGTCGATCGGTGTCGGGATATGTAGTTAAGGCTGGGAGTCATCTTCTCTCGTGGAAATCGAACCAGCAGGACACCATTTCTTTATCTTCAGCTGAAGCAGAATATAAGGCACTGTCCGATCTCAGTCGAGAAGTCATTTGGATTACTAGTCTGATCAACAAAATCAAAATTTTTAAGTCACCATGCAATATTCCGATTTATGTCGACAACAAAGCTGCGATTGACTTGGCAAACAGCGAGACATCTCAAAACGGTTTTCGTACAAAGCATATGGACATACGGCTTCATTTCGTTCCAGAACATGTTCAATCAAAGTTGTTAATGTTGCTCTACATCAAGTCAAATGAGAATCCGGCCGATTTTCTCACTAAATCTGTTGGTCGATGTACAATTCGACGTTCTTTGAAAGTCTTGGGAATCTATGGAAATTCAGATTCTGCTTTGCAGCTGACGACTCGAAGCACAGATCACGACTGTTGGAATTCCATTTCCCAAAATAGCCCTCGAAAGAGGAGAGCGGCAGGTAAGCTTTACACTTTGATTGTAAGGCTGCCTAGAAAGTTAATTGCATACTGATCATGTATAGAGCTTATAAATTGTGAATCTTCGATCAAGCGAAAAGCTTGTGAAAAAGGGAATGACGTTGATGACGTCAGGTTTCTAAATGATGATGATTGTCAATCATTGAGCTCTAGGTGAGTCTCAATGATTTACAATCGGGTTGAGGAAAAGATTGATACTGATCACTCTTCCCTTCTACAACATCATCTTTAGCCTGACCGAATCAGACTCACAACTCAAACTTATCGAAAGAATCTCCTCATCGTTTATCGGTGAGTATTTTAGCCTTTCTTAATTTAAGAAAGAGAGCAATACTTATAATAAATAAATGAATGTTATTTAGTATCGCTAAACGAATCAAAATAAACAAAAGTCATTAAAGAAATTATTTAACACTATAAACAAGTATAGTTGTTTCTTTTATCATTTTTATTTAAGACAGTAAAAGATTAAGATGTTGACTGACTCACATCTTTTTCCTTAATAAACATTAAGCTATTATCTCGAATTTATCCTCAAAATACTTTAGCGCATTATTATCAAGTTATCATTTCTATTTCTTTATTTATCTAATTCAGATTCATTCTGCCTTTAGGTAAAAGTCATTTTATTATACTGTTGTATTTATAAGAAAAGATAAGATAACTTATAAAGAAATAAATCTTTAGTTTCCAAAATCTTTCAATAGTAACAACCTTTTTACTATTAAATACTCAGGTTAGTTACCCAGAGGCTGACAGACGGATCAGGTGTCATACCGTCAAGATCAGGAGAAGATGATAGATGGGTAGACTGCTCAGACTGTAGAGAGTAAGGAGATTGTGGTTTGTTCTCAAGTCTCACCGGAATGTAGAAAACGGACATGAAAAGGCGATTGGAGAAGGTACAACAGTTGATAACAAAACAAATGCTAGAAGCGACCCCCTTAAGAACCCAAGGAGGCTACTTGATAGTGCAGCTAACTCGGAAAGTGCCGGCCTCAACTTGTCGTGTCACAAGTTGGAAACTACGGAGTCGACCAGCGACCCTTTTTGTTAGACACTATGATCAATAGCGTGGCCGACTAAGCAGTGAAGCCAGTCTTGGGAGTTACAAATATCAATAAGAACAAAGACCTCGCCATTCAATGCAGGTTTTAAAAACGCGGGTAGCCTTCGTAGGTATTCGCAACACTCAATATAGCTCCAAACACATTAATCAGGTTCTCCATTGGTAAGACCGGTGATCAGAATCAAGCAGATAGCGACTATGTATTCCAAGCTCCTCCATGGTGCGAGGGAAGTAAAGGCATTCATTGTCCTTGTCCCTGCTGCCCACCTATTCCTACCAGACATCTCCGCAAGTATAGAACAACTTGAGATTATTGCAGAAGCAATGAGTTAACCGGACCTGCTTTACGATGATCCGGCTACGTATTGTATGCAGTACCAGCCTAACTATCATTCTAATTTTGTTTCCATCTCTAACCTCGCCCTTGGAACGACAAACGACGATATTTGACTCACTTTTCAAGACTTTGGCTCAATCAGCCACTGCTTTATTGCCTTGGATCAACCGTCGAGTGCTCTAGTATATTTCCTCAAACCATCAGACGCGGGCTATCAAGCCGAGTCACTCAATGGTGCAATTGCCGACGGACAGCGCATCTCTGTCAAAGCCATCAAGGAGACCAAGTTAGGGGGCCTAGCCCTCCTTTGTAGAATAACCTGAACCCTGGCCTGTACACCCCCCCTTAGATGGAAGACCCACCAAGCCCCTTCATTGCAAAATTTGGGGGTGGTTGCCACCAACCCTCTCCCTTTGAATCACCTGAAGCTCTGGATCTATAAACCTCAATCTGTCACCCCTCAAAACTTAGGTTTTTTTCCTTTTGTGGTAGCTTTGTCTGTCCTTTTCCTTTTTTTTTTTTTCTCTCTTCTCTCTATTTTTTTGGGCAAATCAGAATGTTTTTTTTTTGGAAATTAAATGAAATCAAGGCAATGGAATGAAGAGTCAAGAAGAATTCAATGAAGAAAGGAATCAATCTAACAAAAATGATCAGGAAAGTAATGACAATAAAACATACAAAAATAATAATAATAATAAAATTATTACATAAGATAAAAGCACAAAAATTAATCTACATACATAAGCATGGTGCCTTGCTTCTGGCATTCTTTTTCCTCTAGAAAAATTTTATCAGTTATGACAAGTTTCTTTCTCTAGAATATATATATTTTTTTCAGTTAGCTTCAGGATTGTCTTTTTCTCTTTTTCTTTTCTTGGATGATGGGGACATCATCTAATTTGGGGGTGGATTTGGTAAGCCAATCCTGAATTTCAGAGCACAAAAAGACTACAAATCACCCAGGAATCACAGACTCAAGACCCCTCAGGAATTCCCCAGGCCCTCAAACAAATCCAACACACCAGTCATCCACACAATTGCCCCCCCCTCATGGATAAAAACATTTCCCACTTCTCTGAAACTCCTCAAATGAAACCCATGGCCAAATTCCTAGTTCACTCTTGATAAGAATTAGCTCACACACCAATTACACACTAGTACTCCTTCTCAGTATAACCTCAAACCCCTCTAAAGAATATTCCTTATCTCTTATCTCCTTCCATCTTATGCCAAGAATTACCACACAACAGCCATGTTTCATACTAGCCCTCTTTTGGCCCTTTCTTCTCATTGCCTGTTCAATCCCCATCTGGGTGAAATAATTACCCCCACCTCTTCCCCTTGATAAGATTATCCAAGCCTCTCTCTGTTTCAGAATGAATTCATTACCTTATCTTAGCTTGGCCCTTTCCTTGGTTTCAGTCTAGTCTTATCTTACCTTAGTGCCACACTGAATTAGGCCACATTGTTCATAGTTACAATTTTCTTCCTTGTTCATTCCTTGTGCCATTTTGTTCCATCCATCTTCCAACCAAAAATTGGCCACTCCCCAGAATCTTGTATGTAAGAAGCTTTGTTTTTCCTCTTCCTTTGTTCCACATCAGAGCCTGCCCCAGTAATTCAGATAACTGATCACCCATTATTAGCCAGGTATAAGCCCATCAACATTTGGGATACCTTGATTTGTGAACAAGTATATTTAGACTAGTAAAAATAAGAAACATTAGACATACCATCCTCAAGAATTCTCCAAAGCCACACCTTTCCTTAAGAGTCCATACTCTTATATTTTTCTTGTTACCTTACTCATTGGAGTTACCAGAGAGGCAGCCCATTAAAGCACCTATACCTCTCAAGCTCTATTCATCCCAAGAGTAGTTCCACACCGTTTGGTTGTTGTTTAACAAAATTGTATTGATTCAACCCAACTCAGAAACACACAGACAGTATAGCCTCACCCCATTGACCTTCAAAAACCTCTTGGTACACCTGCTTAAGTCCTGTTTGGTAGTTGATTAAATAGAAAAAACCCATCAATTTGTGCTTCGTGGGTGATTAGTGCAATTCAATCCTGTTTCTTTCATTTATCATAATCATTGTAACACCATGCTCTGTATGCATATTCAGAACCATGCTCTGTATGCATATTCAGATAGAGCCACATCTCCGTACACACAAAATGGCATCTTCTGGGGTCACACAAGCAAGTGAGGGGTCCTCATGTGGAGTTCCAGAAAAAAGGATGATGTAAGAGTGTCAGATTAGAAAACATTATTACAATTCACTAATGATATCCCTCCCTCTGGTTTTACCCTATCCCCTCTCCATCCTCTGCATCTGGCCTCAATATACCCCCTCTTATTATCACAATTCCTGCCATCATTCAAATCCATTCTTTCCCTTTAAACCAATTATACTTCCTGATTTTTACGTCTCTCGTGAGGGATGTCAATCTGTTGAATGTGATTGTTTAAATATTGGAAATCTGCCCCATATATAGGATTATATATCTTTGATTTGTATGTCTCTCGTGAGGTATATCAATCTGTTGATTATAATTGATTCAATATTGGAAATAACCCCCATTTATTATGTATCTTGATTTGTATGTCTCTCTTCTGGGATCTCAATCTATAGATTATAATTTGAATGGGTGGTATTGAATAGCGGGCAGGAATTTGTTAAGAAGAGAAAAAAAACAAAGGTACAACCAGCAAAAAAAACAGGGACAGACCACACAATTAGCCTCATTCACAACCAGGAATGACCCTGACATGAAGTCCACGTTCCGTGAGAGGGATCCGGTTCAACTCTATCCAATTTACAAATCTGTGAATTCCAGTCATAAAGCCTATTGAGAAGCACACCCAACCCCTGATGACTTCAAAGCCTCCAAAGATATTGTTGAGTTTTCCAGTATCCGCACTCCTAGCCGTGACCCCAGCGGCAGCAAAGACAGCTGCAATCCCTAAAAAGACTGAGAGTAGGGTTTGGGCTCAATTCTCATCAAAAACCGCTCCTCAATCCTAATATTAAACCCCAGACTCGACAAGAACCCCGACTCTCTCCTTCAGAATCTTGGCCATACGGCGCTATCCGATCAAGACTCAACATCAAGATCGACCTATCTCAAGACCTTCTCTAACAGCTCTAGACTTCTCAAGAATCCTAGAAAGGCACCTCTTTACCATCTAGCCTCACGTCTGCTCAACGTGCTGTCCGTATATCTTCTCCTCTTCTTCCTCTCTCTTTTCCTTTGATACTCCAACCCTGTTTCTCTTCCTTTCTGTTTCTGTTTGATGTGGAATTCACTAACCTGTCTCTATTGTCACTTCTCATTCTTTTGTTATCAATTTCCTTTATAGTTTGATATCTTATCTGCTTCTGTCTTCTGCTCTCAAAGTTTTCTCTCTTCTTGTCCTTATATCAATCTTATTAGCGGTATGCCTTTTTTTCTCTTTCCTATTTTTTCTTATCATCAGTCTCTCTGTCTCTCTATCTTAATTTTGTTTCTAACTTTTTTTCCTTGTCTCTAGTTTGGTTCTGGTTCTTAAGAAATAAAATCTATATTTCTTCAGATATCATTCTAGAACAGTTTTTGTTAATTGATCATGGCCATGTTGCTTTATATGAACGAGTCAAACCTGAAAAGACCGGTAAGGGTAAAACAGATATTCATATTATCCTAATTTATAAGTGGTTTGAAACTGACATTGAATGTTGATGCATTATTAGATCCTGTAGAAGGTAAAAAAGAAGAAGAAACTCAAGATTCAAACAAAAATAAAACCAAGAAGACTAACAAAGGTAAAAGAATATCCCTTAGAGCAAATCATCTCATAAGCTTGTTTTTCATAGAAAATCTGACATAAGGCATTTGTTTAAAATAAAGCACAAGCCCGAAAGTCAAACCCAAAGTCCAAACAAAAGGAAGATGTAAATAATAAAAAAACCAAGAAATCCGATAAGCCTGTCGATACCTTCATTGCCTACATCCACTTCACAGCAGGACAAAGAAGATCTTAACTACGTTACAAACTTTTTAAATAAATCACGACAATTTGTCAATGTTATCCAGCTCCCACAGAAGATCTATTGTGGCAATATGTGGACAATTGGCTGGCGTAAGCCTCAAACTGAAGGCAAGATGGCTGGACGTTACCTCAATACACCTGGTATCACCAAAAACTTCTTTGTCTATTTGGATTATCTGGGGGATGGAGTTTCAGCCAGCTCTATTATACATTGATTATTTCACTCAATTACGGATGCGGCTGTCAATGCAGCAAATAAATTACTGACCTCTCTGGGATTGCCTCATTTTTCCGACACCAACTTGAATAGTGACTCCATGGAAACCAAATTTGCTTCCAACTTGGCCTACACACGTGAAAAATTTTCAAATAAACCATACTGTGACAAAGATGCTGGTGCTACTGCATTCCTATTATTAACAAATATTAACAAAAAGGATGGTTCCATTGCTCTGAACAGTCACCTTGATCCCACCTTCATAGGTCCCTTCTTTGTTTTTCCTGATCATAAAGTGGTGATTGACTTGCAAAAATTAGATGGCATATGCCGGGTAGAAATTTGATGCAGGCAAATTAGAACATTGTACTCATAATAATCAACCGGCTCATTCAACCCTTACTCCATTTGGATTTTCCGTCCAAATATCCCAAAGTTGTGTTGATGCATTTCACCGTATATTTAGTGGCTATTATGATAACAGAGTAACCCCCAAGAATAAAATCCCATACTATCTTGGGGATCATGATTATATCTTCATTAAAGTTTTTGACAAAATTGTTTAATCTGTTTCTATTCCATCATCACACCTCATTCTCACAATCAAATATAAAAAATTGTGTTTTTTTTGAATATGATTATAATAAGAAAGGCAATTGATGAAAAAGGAAACTTGTTTTTCATCTAACACCTATATACTAGCTTTCTTTGTGAGAACATTTTGGTGGAATCTATTTCAAAAAATCATATGAGTTGAGATAGTAGGGGGTATCAAATATAACCAAATCCACCATTATTTAATTGACTGGTTTGAAAAAATCCACCCTTTTTTAACCATGTTGGTTCTTCATTTAACCCCTTTTGGGGCCCATTGATGCAAAAAAATATTTTTAAAAAAGTGACTGGTTTCTAATGGTGGATTTTCTATATTTGATACCCCTTAGTAAGGAGGAAATACAAGCTTGGAAAAACCACACATAATAATACTCGGTGGTGTTTGCAGGATGATTGGATAACCAGCCAGAAGGAAGAGCTCCATCCGCATAATTAATAATATGAGAAAGACTAGATT